ATATCTGTAATTCCTACAAAAAAAGATCGAAATGGGAACGATATATCTATAATGATACTTGGTACCAAATGGCAACACCATGTTGGATGGGATCCTATAGTAAAAGGCGAATTTATAGCTACACATAATGGGAAGACTATTACAATTCCGCTTTCTACTCGAAAAGAAAAGTATAGTCACAATGTGAGCGTATCTGATAAGGGCGGAGCTTTTTCCCATGATGAAGAGAGTCGCCCTTCGGAGCAAATACCAGTGGAGCAAAAAAAAAACTAGATGATCGTACATGTCAGTATTGTGATAGGGAATTCAAGTATCCTTGCAAACTTCGTGAACATTTAAAAAGAAATAATATATGTTCACAGAAAATTACTAACTGCCCACAAGAAATTACTGACTGCCCACGAGAAATTACTGACTGCCCACGAGAAATTACTAACTGTCCACGAAAAATGGTGAACAACAGTGCTCCGATGCAAAAAAAATGTGAGCAATTTGTTCCTATTCGATTGATGTTAGCATAATAATTTTGTTTTTATCCCAAGCGCCTATGAAGTGGTACCACAGCAAAGCGCTTATTTTTTTGTCATGTTTAAAAATGGAATAAGCGACTCGCAAAGCGAGGAGGTTTTCACCTCACGACATTCAGAAGTATCCTCATTCTGTGGTGGTGGTACCACTGAGTCAGTATTAGTGACCCGAAGGGGCGAGTCTAAAGACTCTCTTTCGTATTCATGAAGCAAAGCCTCTGATTTTGTGTCTAACTTGGTAAAAATTTCAGTACTACCAGTACTACCAGAAGGTTGTGTGTCACAGAGTGCGCAAATATATACATGTCTCGGTGTCGTACGGCTCTGTATTGCAGGGGGCCATGCTATGCAAGTCTTATTGTGAAGCAATGACCCTTCGGGTCTATTAACTGATTCGATAATATGGCGCCATTCCTCAGTTGGTTCAGAAGGCATTCGATTGTTAATTATATCCTCATATCGCTTCGTACCTATATGATATTTTTTACACATCACACGACATGCATTCGGGATATTTTCCGGTGCGTTTCTGATTTCTTCGATAGCTTCGGGTGTCAATGGGGTGGCATCCGGTCTGAGAAATTTACGGTTGCGAGTCTGTGCCGTACGGTGTTGTGATGGTGATTGGTTGTTCATGACGCACAGAGTGGTAATATATCAGGGGAAAAATAATAATAAATTTAATTAAATTCTATATCTAGACTGTACGGCACCAGTCTGATATCGATATATTTCTGCACTATTATGTCGAAGAAGCAAAGCTTGGATCCTTTGGATCCTCGGACAATAATAAACTTATTTT